AAGGGGGTGAGGGTATTGTAATTTGATCTGGATCAAAATTGGGATTCTGGATGACTTTGAAGCATTTTTCATAATGGGGGAGACTGGACATTTTCCAATTTGGGGTTAATAACTTTGTAAAATTTGACAAGATTTGTACCAAATTTCATGGGCACATTAAGACTGAGACTTCTCATCACACTATGAAAAGTGATCTAGATGATTGATCATTGTGCATATGAGGAGGGTTTTCTGAGTTCTCGAAGGTGAAACTTGACGCTATCCAATATAAATGCATGCAATCTCTCTGATTGCTCGTGTTTTTAAACTTTAAAACTTAAGTAATTTAATGAAATCAAAAACTTATTGTAAAAGTAGTTTCAAGTTTCAAATAAAACAATGTTTTATATCACAAACATTATCCTATGCATTTCTTTATCTTATTTAAAAATACATAAATAAATTGAGCTTTATATACTATACTACTTAACATCTAATATTAAGAAGCTTTGGATCCAATTTGCTGTACAAACTGTTACAAATACTCTACTTCACCAACACATACAAGTTATCCATTATCCTGTCAAGATCAGTTTTAAAACTCTCACATGCCATAAAAAACAAACAAACATTCATCAAAACTAACAGATGTAAAAAGCTAATTTTATATTTCTGGGACTAATTACACTATCATATAACATCTTGTATATAAAAAATATGGTTGGTTAGCACAAGACTTACAGAAATGTCTCCTTTCCTTTGATACAAGTTAAAAATGTCCTTGTTAACTGTTAAGGAATTGACTTTAACAACCTTAATCTCAATCATGTCCCTTCCCCCAGCTTTTCTCCTCTTCAATAAAAATATGTCAAGAAATTAAACCTATCCCCATAGGATAATTCCAACTTCAAACCTGAATCATACAGACAGTTTTTCTCTGGACCCCCTCTAACAACTCAACACACTTTCTTAAATAATGACCCAAACTAACTACAAACACACAGTTATGAACAAAAGTGTAGCCAGCATCTTACAGAATAAACTAGTAACCTTAAGACTCACATTCTATTTCATATATAGAATCTGAAATTCTCTTTGTTTTATTACAAGCTAACACACACTATCTAGAAGGATTTAGATTTTTTTTTTAAATAGCTATGCCTATATCTTTTTCCTCATAAATGCCACCTAGTTTCTTCAGTGATAAGAATAATTACTGTTGTGATAACCAATATGCATAACCTTTCATATATTAAAGCTAAATGTCAGGTATCAGCACAGCTCAAACAGTCCATATATTTTTCTGGAAATCTACATCTTCATTACAATAATAATATAAAAAATAAATTAAATATCATCCACAAACAATCAACTTAATGGTAATTCCATTATCAATCTCAATGAAAAGCACAGGACCTTGACATACATCATTCTTTAACATCAACACACTTAGGCTTCATTCTATTAATAACAACCTAATGTTTTATACCAGTTTATCTCCTGCTTTAACAGATGCAAGCTTTCCAAGAAGTTTATGTGGTGCCTTACTAAAATCCCACTGAATGTCCAATAGGGTGATCCTTATTTGCAGGGAAAATTTCAGATTAAATAATTACTGTGTGGTTTGTCATTTTTGCATTGTTATTGTTTTCTTTTAATGTTAGAAAAATATCTTTTATGATCCTGCACAACTTAATAAGATATTGTATATTCTTTTTTCTTTGTTATGATGAAATTATAATCCTCAATAAGGGCCATGCTCCTTTTGGCATTGTCATTTACCACATTCAAGTGCTGAGCTGTCTAAAGTTCTTCATTGTAGATCTCTTCAAGTTCCCATGATTTGGGGTCATAATCCAGAAATCAAGATGGAATTTTGAGGCATTTGAAGTCTATTGTGCTCTTTGTGACAAAATCTTCAATTAACATGTCCTCAGACTTCCTGATATTTAGATGGACACATTTTGGAGGTTCATCTATGCCTTCCTTCTTATTTAGTACCTTTACCATTGCTTGTTTTGTTTTTATGAATACAGCTGAATCAAAGAGTTTCTCATTGAGATACCACATATGTCCAGCAAATTTTGTACACATAAATTTTGAAAGTAAAAAGTTAAGATCACTGTGAAGAGAGGAAATGGCATCAGGAGCAGTGAACCATACCCTTAAATAGATTCAAACAAAAAATCTGCAGAAGTCACAGAGTAATCTTTCCACATGGCCAGTAAGCTTAAACTGTCCCATAAACATCAACACCTTGAGGTCATATAATGTCTTGGCCATCCACTGTGCATGTTACAGTGCTATAAATTGCACTCCACGAGGAGGGATGTCACCAAGAAAGGTTATGGCTAACTCAGAAAGTTCTCCATAATCATCTTTAAGTTGGCTGACCTGAAGTTATCACAAACACTGTTCTTAACTTTCTTTACAGCTTTAGCTACTTCATCAAGGTCAGCTGTAGTTTCATATCTGGACTGGTCCATGCATTCCCAAGGTTGCTGGAATCAACTGAAAATTGCAATATCAAGACCAGAGGAAAGTCCGATAGTCTTCAAAAACACGACAGGACAAGCTCTAAGATATGATGTTGGCATGTTAAATGTAAAAGATTTTTTTAATCATTTCACTGCAGAAAGTAACTATAGTCGACAGAAGATTGTCATTGCCAGTGAAGATTCACTTTTCTCCACAGCCATCAAAATTTTTTTCCATCTAAGCAGAAAACAATATCATGAGTATGAATCAACTGCCAGATATCAGGTGTGCTGACATCTGGGATAATGAGTGGGAAACACAGATATAAACAATCCCTCAACTGATGCCGAAGCTAACAGATGATGCAAGGCACCCACACAGATATCAGCAGACTGTTGTATTTTCTGTGTTTTTACTATAATTTAGGTAGTGTATTGACACACAGCAAGATATGCAATGCGTGTCTTATATATCGTAATGCATAATACAGCAAAATAAATGGCTAATTTATAATAGTTTTTGATGGAGATATAACACTCATTGGGGACTGACTGACATCTGAATAAATGGTGAAAGGGTTAATCTTTGTTTCAATGGTACATATATACTCCATTTCTATGACCTGTGTCGCATACTGTTGTGTCAAAGCAAGTTGCCTTTACACATCAATGATTCACCACTCTTGCAGAAAATGTGCCACAGCAGAAGCTTGAGCCTCTAGAAATCAACTTTGGAACACTTAAAAGTTGGTTTACTCAGGCCACAGACAGGATCAATGGCAGATGATCCACTTTTTCTTCACGAAAGTGATGTTTACATCATCAGCTCAAAGAATGGTTGATAATTAGCTTCTATACATCATGATCTAAGCTGTGAACTGTGGCAGTAAGGACAAATGTTGCCCTTCTGTCCCTCAACTTGGTTCTTTGCATAGCTGCTACTAAGTTGGGAGTGATATTTATTCTCATCTCCACTTTAGGTTTAGAAGGTACTGATTCCCCAATTGCTCCTCTATCCTCACTGTTATTGGTACTGTATCCACCAACCTCATTATCACTGCTGTGGGATGATTCCCAACAATTGAGAGTTTCATTCAGGTCTGCTGTTCCAGCTCTGCACACTATTTTCTGTCCATAATGTCCAAATTTCATCTAACTTGAGTAACCCCTAAATGGTATTAATACAGATATAATTGAGTGTGAATTATTTATACATTGGAACAAAATGTAGGGGTGAGATGGTGTAAATCAAAACTTTAAAGATAAGGACCACCTTAATGCCCAATACACTAACTTCACTTCATTACCAAAGAAAGTAAATCTGTAAGAGTTTTCTCCTTCTTCACACAAGCTGATTGTCTTTGATAATGTAAAACATTTTTAAATGCTCTTGTGGAATTTCTTTAAAGGTTATGGTACCTTCCAAAACAAAGTAAGACCAAGTTTTAGGTGACAGTAAAAGATAATTATATGACCTACAAGCTGAAAATGAGGAATCAGACTAACCTCCTCACTAGTAGGTTTGTTGTCAGATGAAGCAGCAGTAGAGTTTCCAATACTGGATTCTCCCCCACCTGACAGTTCAGAAGCTAGTTTGAGCTCAGAATTTTCTAAAGACTGACCAGCATCTCCACCAGCTGCTACATTAGTACTGGAATCAGGTTCTGTAGTTAGTGTAGTAGCTGAAATGTTTGAAACTTCATCTCCTCCAGCAGTGTTGTTTGCACTGTTTTCAGGATCCATTTTAGATTGTCGTGGACCTCTACGAGATCCACCACGAGAAAACCCAGAACTACCTCTGAAGCGAGGCCTACGAGATGGTTTTTGATCTTCTTTATTTCGTTGGTTTTGTTTTTTTCTGGTTCATTCTCCTAAACAATAAAACTGCAAAATTATTCATATATCTCCAGAAATATAAAACTAACATTATATTAAATCCATATTTATATAAAATAATAAAATACCACACTTGCACAACCTACATTTTACATATATTTTTGATAGTTCTACCTATCTTCTTCAATCAAGGTATTCAAGAAACTTTGGCTCAAACTGGCAACATTTGGTGAGTTTAACGGAAAGGTAATTTAAACCCAATCCTATTCTTCAGTATTATTTATTTTTCCATCTAGTTGCACCCTGTTAACATGGTGGTTGAGAACATGACCTACTATCAACCTGTCATCCATAGAATACTTAGTACTTGTCAAAAAAATTAGTTGGGGATCTGGAATTACTTTCTATTCACTAAATTCTTTAAGTTGTAAGAAACAAATGTGACAAACCAAATTATTTTCACTTGTCTCTTCTTGAATAAACTTGAGTATTTTATAAAACATTTGTAGATCACATAACAAATGCTCAAACCTGGCACCAGAAGCCAAGACAGCAATTCTTTGGCTTTATGGCAGATAGAATGGTGATGCATGAAATAAAACAGTACATAGAAACAATATACATGTTAAAATTTTTGAATAATATTACATTGGGGTATGTAAATAATTTTCTATCATTAAAAGATCTGGAAATGCACTTTTGTTTTATTAAAATTCATATGACATACTGATTGATAAACATGTAGTATAAAACAAATCAGCTTCATCGGCTGGGTTAGGTATCAATCTTATAAACAAATTAAAACTATACTCAATAACGTTATATTATTTCCAAAACGTTAAAATATATTAGTTAAAAACAAAAAAAATATTTTCCTACTATATACTTTTTAATTTCAGGTAACTTAAATTAACCATCAATGTTTCAATTCAATACTGATTAATCACAACATTACTTGAAGTTAGACACTTTTTTTGCTGTTACAACACCATTTATGTTTCTTAAATATTAGGCAGTAATTATTAAATACTTTCCATAGCTATAAATTGCATTTGTTTTTAGCCTTTTTTATGCCTAAATATAAGAATCTCCAAGCTAAGTAATCATAAATGTGGCTATTTTACTACTAATAGAACACCTTGTGAATTTAGGATCTTTTACACAAATTACTACTGATGAATGATTTGTTTTTAATAGGCCTATATTTATGATTATCAATATAAGTAATATGCTTGCATTTGTCTGTCCAGAACGTTTCTTGCAAATTTCTGGATCAAATGCTACAAATCTCATATCATTAGAAAGGCTTCTGTCCGAGATGTCTGGATTACATATTGGTTTTTCCATTTATAATCAACTTTTGTTTTTTGCTTAGTCAAACATCTTAATGCAACGAGTATGCTACACAATGTCATCGTCATCATTGTCTTTGATTTCAACTGGTTTTTTTTATTTGCAGCATATTTCAAACAAACAAACACTTAACCTGCACGTAATTTCCTTAAAAGCAAGCAAGCATTACATTAAATACAATTGCTAGGGGACTTTCTTGACTTATTTAGGTGTAAAATATGCAGATACAGTTCATTTAAAACCATATGCTTATCACTTTGTGAACATGCATTCAGATGTTTCTGCATATTCAGCTAAATTTGCCTTCATTACAACATTACATTTACTTTACTTTGCAATAATTTAGCTTCAGTTCATTTCCAATACCTTTTAGCTACTTCTTTTTTTAGTACAGGTTTTATTCTTCATTTTTGTGAGTTTCTTTGTTTCAACTCATAAAGCTATGTTATACACTAAACACTCGTGACTGTTTCATACTTTGTACGTTATTATAAATACCATTAATGTACTTTAAGTGCAGTTTTATTAAATAAATTTGCATCCACGCGAGTTTGTTTGTCTGACCGCATAAAACGTTTTCAAATAGGCCAGGATTTATCTATCTAACACGTAATACCTCAAAAAAGCATAGCTTAAATGCTGTACATGAAAATGATAGAGTACAGAAAATTCAAACAAAGGGCATGAAAACTACTTCAGATGTTTTGCAGGTTGCAGCTAGTAACTAATATTACATATATCTTCCTAGTTTTTTTTTTTCCCTTTATGAGTACTTTATTGTTTCAGATATCCTGTGAAACTTATCAATCAGAAGAAATAAAAAGTACAATATCAAAATCTAGCTTTAATAAGAAGCTTTCTAATGAAATATTATATTATCTTATAAAAGTAATAGCAATGGGAAATGAATACAAAACTGAACAATGTTAAAAGTTTGACAACATTATATTCATAAAAAACTAACTTAAATACCTTCAAATCACCACCACTCTGACTACCTTCTGTATCACTACGAACTCGTCGAGGTCTTCTGTTGTAAGAATTTTGCGAATAAAAGCGACGAGGACGCCTTTTTGAGTACTGGCCTTGTTCCTGTCCATGCTGTGGACTTCCCCCTCCACTGCTATCTTCATCAGTTTGATGTTGTTTTTCCTGTAAAAATAACAAAACTTATTAAAGTTTAGCAATAAATATAGAAAGCATACAAAATCTGCAGTAACAATGCAAATCTTGTTTATGGTATCAAGAGGAGTGTTATTATGGGAAAAAATTTTAATTTTGCCCTAATCACTTTGTAATTAGTTGTTTAAAATGCACGTTTAACAAAAATGTCTAAATGCCTCATTTTTAGTTACTGATACATTAAAATAATGGTGGCACATACTTGTAGTCTAATTTACAATTAATTTATACAAACATGCTGTTGTGATATTACACATCTGTACCATACTGAGATAATTCAACCATGTACCTGTAAGCTTTATTATTTCAATTCAACTACATTTTGCTTTGGATCTTCAAACACTTTCTTAAAAAACTATTTCTTACATATATTTTATTGCTTCTCTTCATCTCAGTACTAAAATCAGCTTTTGAAAATAACTTGTATGAAGAATTTTATCTACTCTTTGGGCTTAACTCTCAGGTGATATAGTGGTATTAAGCATTATCAGAGGACAACACGACTGTTTGCCAGTTTGCATTTACATATTTTGAGAATATGACAATGTGATATTTCAGACTTCCTTCACAAGCTTATAGCTGTGAAGTACTAGCCCAAACAATGTGCATGTTAACCAGAATATACCAGTATTTTACTAATAAAATTCCTCCTGAACTGCAGAGAGAAAAAAAAAAGCAACTTTATTCCAGAAACAAATATTTTTTATGGGTCTATATTTACAGATCTAATGTGTGATAATAAAAAGTGAAGGAAAAATTAAAATGGCTTAATTAAAAGAAAGTTTAATTTAATTTTCAATACTATGACTTACTTAAAATTGTTAAGATCAGAACTTCAAAATACAATTAAAAGCTCTTTGTTTTTATATAAACTACGCATCAACATAATGCTCATGTACCTCAGTTATAACAACTCATACAATTTACTTTCTGGGAAGGTAGTAGCATGGGTACAGTTACAAGATATATGGTGATATGTATATTAAAAAAACAACAACATTAACTCTCTCAACACATAGTTGATCAAATTAATTGACCTCTTAACAACTTTGTACTCATTAGTTTCCTTATTATAACTTTTAATACAGTATGTGTATCTTCACAAAAAATTCAGTTTTTTTTAATGAAATATTATTACTAAAGAATTGTCCATAAATATATCAAACGTTTTTTTGACTAGTCTGAGTACAAAATGAACTTTGAATTAAGAATAAAAATACTTTTCTTTGTTTCAAAAATGTCAAATTTTAATTGTGTAACCTACAAAACCTAAATAAATATAAAACTTTATATTTATAGTTATTATACAGTTTGGAGCCATTCCAATAAATATCGCAAGAGTTTGAGTATTGGTCATCCTTCTGGAATGTTTGGAATTTAGCAGCATAAAAAGTTATTATTAGTGCACATGGTTATAAAATCCCATTTCCCTTTCAGCAAACTTATTCATCAACCAATACATACTTAAATTTTAGTTATTTTATAGAATAACTAAAAAATACTTCAAAAAAAAAACAACAACAAAGATTTCAATTACTTAGTGTTATGAGATATTGTGCTCGTGTCGTACATACTAAGCCTCACCATAAGTCTTCTTTATTCTTTCGAGTGGAGTGTGAAGAGAATTTTTGTAGCTTCAAATATACATTTTATAAAATATAATTATCAACTTACTATACTGGTTCACACAAAACCCCTGTAATTTATCTGAGTTTCTAAACAAGTTATAAATGAGTTTAAAAACATCTCGTATCTTTTCAGAGAAACAACTTAGTCATTACACTTCAAAAGTTTTGCAAAATTATGATTCTCTCCTTCAAGCTAGTTACAAAGGACTGTCAGAATTACATACACAGGAAACCGTTCTCTCTCTCTTGGTAGTAAACACTTAAGTCAAAAGAAGTAGGTGGGACTAGACAAGCAGTATTAAAAAATAAAGTGTGGGAGGAGTCACTACTAGATTGGCTAAATATATTGACATCTCAGCAAATCAAAGAGGTGGGAGTTTATTTTATACTCTAGCTTGTCTGTAAATCAAATTCAAGTTTCTAATTCGTTAACCACTGTACATGTTGTATGGTAGGCATGATAAAATATAAACTGAGCAATAAGACAATAGGAAATGCTACGTGAGAAACAAAACTTGATATTTAGCATTTTTTCTTTATATTGCCTTTTAAGTTAAGAAATTAACACATATGATATTAAAATTTGAATTATAAACTGCATTTTGAAGTCAATTCCATTTACATAAGTAATAGTAAAGTTATTTAATACAATTTTGAAAACAACTCTAAAAGGTCATGACAAGCACTCTAACCTGCCCGCAGCAAAAGGGTTAAACATAATGTCATTGGCAATGGATATGGCAGACAATGTTGTTGAAATATTACACACACTTCCTTTTTCTAAAAAAAGCCGTAGGGATTTCATGAGGAGTTTAATGTTAAAAAAATATAATAGGCATGATATTAATATCTTATAATAAGTATAATTAATTATAATCATATTCAGACTCAAAAAAGGCATTACAACCATAACAGTTGCTTTAACAGGTGACTTTTATAGTGTTATGACGACTACTGTGTTTGTTGTGTCCCTGCTGACTTCTCAAGCTCTGTATTGACCAAAACACATTGGCAACAAATATTGTGGAGAGTGTGGTCAAAATACTATTATATACTTTGGCTTCTTGAAAAACTCCAAGGAATGCAGTATTAAAAATACAGTAGGCCTAGTACTAAAGTCTTATGACAAGTATAATTAATGACTGTACTTTTTCAGTTATAGATGCCATTATTTAAAAATTGTATAAACAATACATATAACTTATTTTAGTTTTATCTTAATTCAGTAATGAAACAAAACACACCTAAAATACAATCAAAATAATTTGAAAACATGCTGTTCAGTAAACAAAAGGTTTCCCTTTGTATATTTTTAAAAAAAGGTGAAGACCTTGAACTTGAAAATTTTTCTGTAGTGGTAGGATTAATGAGTGTTAGCCTAGGTCTTGGACACTTTAGTGAAGTAGATGATTTAAGTTATTCAACATGCTACTTGTGCCATGTTTATCAATTTGATGATACCATAATAAAACCAAATACTGATCAATATTAAAGTGTTTACTAATTACTAATAAAGAACTGAATAAATGCATATCTTGTATATAACGGACAAATGGTCAGTACAATATTGTAAATAAATTATTCTTGATTACCACATTAATGATTTTGTATTGGCTAATACAGATTGAACTTCAATAATCCAACTGCCTATAATTTAAAAACCTCTGGGCTATACCTGGATTGTTCATTGCAAGTATTTTTTTTTGTAGTAATCATTACTGAAAAATGATTGTTGAATTTTGCACAAATCTATTGAAGGTCTATCTACATTTGCCATCCATAATTTTGAAGTGATAAAATTAGAGGGAAGGGAGCTATTTAACATCATCCATGACCAACTTGTCAGACTAAATAGTGGGACTTAATTATCACTCTTATTATGCACAGATTCACAGTATTTTCTAGACTTCTTGTTCTAAGATTATACCTCTCCTGACACACTACACAACCAGAATGAATAGTAGAATGGACTAGAGCTGGGCAATTAAACAAATTATGAGAGTGGATTACATCGATTAGTCACTAAAATTACTATTAAATTGTTAATGTTACAATTAATCAAAACTAGATTCTGATTAATAGTATTTTATATTATTCTAACTGTCCAAGTAACCATAATGTTGCCATTATACTTTCATTTATACTGTTTTGATTAATAAAGGTAATCTTCAAGGCCAGCATTGCCTGATGATTAGGGTGGTTGCCCTATGACTTGAGGGACTCTGGTTCAAATCCTGTTGCCACCAAACATGCTTGCCTTTTCAACCATGAGTGAGTTATACTTATTTTAGAGTCATGGCAAAGCTACTATAGTCATCTGCCACCATTCCTAATTCTGAACTGAAGACCAAATAGTGGAATTTACCAGGGTTTTCTCTAATTTCTAGTAGAAGATACTTAAACGACCATATTAAATATTTACTGAAACTGATGTTAAAATTTTGTTCACATTCAACGGTTTGTAGTTAGTGATTAACAAACTATCTACTTTAACTCTCTCAATATGGGCTCAGTCAATTTGACCAACCACACAACCTTTTTGTACTCGTTTAGTCTTTAGAGATCTAATACTTATAACTCTCAATATAGCGTGTATATCATCACAAAATTTGGCAGTCTTTCAGTTAATATTACAAGTCTTTCACATACAAAAAAAAATCATATTTTTTAGTGAAATACTTTAACTAAAATAAAGATTTGTCCATTAATATACTGAGTATTTGTTTTGAATAGTCCATGTGCAAAGTGATTTTCATTTTAAAATTAAAAATACTTTTCCTCATCTCAAAAATCTCAAATTTCCTTTATGTAACCCCTAAAACCTCCTAAATGCATTACAAACGTTGTTTTTAAGTAAAACTTTATAGTTTATCTGTTATATATAAAACAAATAAAAAAACAAACAAACCTAAATTATCATTTTTCCTTTCTAGAATGACTTCGAATTGTAACATGAAACTACATTTGTTTATCCTAAGTAGCTTTAAATTCATAACAGTATACATCTATTTATAATTAAATTTTATTGTTTTATTTCCCTTTGAACTGTGTCTAAATACTATCCACGCCATTATACGTTGTAAATCATTCAGGGAATGTGCAGCTCACGTTACGTTAATGAATTACATTACCCACGAGTTGCTCACACGTGTATCTCATGAAACATTTTTATTATAAAATTATTAGTTATTTTACCTAATCTAATCTTAACATACATAAAATAATCATAATTTTTACATTTTAGTTACTTTTATAATTATACATAAAGAATAAACATGAAATAAAATACTAAC